CAAGGTGAATGTTCCGGCGAAGCACTAGGGAGGAATATCCGAACGAAACAACACCGTGCAGGCGGACGATGCCAACACAAATATGGAAAACAATCCAATTTACTTTTTTTTTTTTGCTTGTCAGTTTTTATTTTTCTGTGTGTATTTTTATTCTCACTTTAATTGTTTGTTTGTCTTTATTCACATCTGTATTGCATGTTAGTCAAAATCCTAATAGGGTTACGAACGCAATAAAGATAATTATTATTATTATTATTATTATTATTATTATTATTATTATTATTATTATTATTATTATTATTATTATTATTATTACAAGAAGCAACATGAAAAGATACCAAAGGTGTTCAATTAACTTCTATAGCTGACCTCAACAGAAGCGTTGAATTGAACGGCAATACAGTTGCATGCAAGTTATTGCTTATAATGTAGCCAGTTTTAGTATATTTTTTTAGTTTTAGACTCTAGATGGCGCAATTTATCAGGTACTTATATCCGTTCGCTTCTCCACGAGTCACCCCCGGCTTCCTCCCAGTGACGTCAAACGTTAATGAACGCTCTGTTGGATTTTCGATTCAATACTCACAGTTTTACAAAAATCTGGTAGGGTTGACGGGATCAACTGGAGGGTCACCTGACTGAGAGAATACACTCTGATTGGAACGAATACCGGCGATTGAAATTTGCTTGAAAACGTTTTACAATACATCACGACAACGAGCGGATCGTAATGGCTGAAAAGGGGACTGTGCAGGAGACTGCTGTCGTTGGTAGGTGGTATTTCGGTGGGCTGGCATCGGCTGGGGCTGCCTGCTGTACTCATCCTCTTGATCTACTGAAAGTAAGTATTTATACCATTCCATATTTCGGGGGAAGTTTACGGTTTATCATAATTTTCACTACCGGTTTTACCGTCATGTACTACTTTACGGACAGTGGATCATAGTAAAAAGACATTTCGCGTTTGACCTTTGGTGCTGTGAATGAGCACAATCCTGTGGAATGAGACATGTTTCGTTGCTTAACCCCTGGTTCTGTAAACAGCGCTACGTTACGGCTGAAGTAAAATCAGAGTTGTCAAACTGCATTAAGAACTGACGGTCTAACGTGTCTGGTATCAATGTATGAACACGTCCTGGTAATACGTACGTGTTGGTACTATATCAGGGACCACCGTGGTTTAAATTACTTAAAAAAGGAGATGGTCGTCGCGCAGCGCGTGTTCGAATTTCAAGTAAATAAACAATGTATTTTACACGCGTTGTATACGTCGCTATGAGTCCCATATCGAACAGGACGCGGCGCGATCACCACCGCCCTTTAATCCGTATGCCTGTCGATGTTGACCTTTCCACCTGCCTACTGACACAATTCATGGTTACACGTACGTACATTACCCGGAAGTACATAAAAACTCGATGTGCGCTTAATTTGGTTCCCCAGTAGAACATTCAACCCATTCTGCATTCAACCCTTTCAAGGCTATATTTTCCCCCTATCAATTTTAGTGCTAGGTAATGCCATCACTATAGTGTTCATTCAAAGTTCAGTTAATTTTTAAGTTGATATATACAGAATATGTTAAAAGCATTTAAACATGTTTCTGAGCCAAAGGTTGTATCTAATAAATGAAAGAGAAGGCATAGACTACTTATTTCAATGACTTAAGCATAGTGCATGACTTGAGTCATTGTTGGCTATACAGATGATCAGATTTCATTGACTTTTACATTATGGTTTTATTTTATGCTGTACTTGTACAAAAACCCAGATCAAAAATATATCATAGCCAAACTACTTATTGTCAAAACACTGGTTCAGGGAATTGGTGATATTTTTAGCCACGATTTGTGTGGTAAAATGTTCTCACCCATGTTTAAATAGTTTGTGTTGGGTGACATACTGGAAACTTAATTTTCACTGCTGTAAATTTCTAATATTCTAATTTAGAAAGATTTTAGTATTTTATGACATTCATGAAGTCGAAGTTTCACAAAAGGCATTGACACTGCATGGAGGACGACGGAGAAATTGTCACTGTTATACAATTTCCACGATTTTCGTAGCCAGTCAGAATTACATATACTAATGACTACTTTCAATAAAACATCAGCTAGTTTTTGAGTTTTTAGCAGGAAAAAAAAAGTTGAAAATTATATATGAATGTGGACAGATGGTGGTTATCCAGTTTTTAGAGGTCACCAGTATTTCTTTTTTTTCTTGCTTATATGAACTTCATTTTCAAAAATGTTCGCAATTTTGGAAATCAATCCACATTTGGAAATCACTGTTTCTAATAATGTAGGATTCAGATAACCTGTGCAATAAGTGAAAATGAATTCCATAGAAAACACCCAAAAAATTCTTACTAGAAAAATTTATTCCAGCTAAAATACAGTAATTTACAATACACTCACAGTATTCCCAATATCTTCACCAGGTACATCTACAGACAGCGCAAACGAAGGGGGGAGGCAGTGCAACCAAAATGGCTGTTACAATTGTACGAACACAAGGCATCAGAGCTCTGTATAATGGAATTAGTGCCTCAATTGGTAGGCAGGTAAGTAGGATATGGTACAAGCAATGATTCAAAGTTTTGAACTATACAATTAGACAGGTATACCTATGCTGTTTTTGGGTGCACTTAGCACTAATTTTGTTGTTGCAATGGTATTTAGTTTAAAAAAAAATGCCTTGCTTAATTAAGCTGGTTGATGATTCTGCTCATTTGTGATTATTTGCTCTAATTCACTAGAATTGTTTTTAATTTCAATAGTTTTTTTTTAAAATGACTAAATCATAATTCTGAATAGAAACACATGAGTTTGTCAACGCAAGCCATTTTTATCGTAGTCTAGATCTATCGGATCACATATATCCCAGAAAGTACTTGACAACTTTCTGGTAGCAAGGATAGTGGAAACAAGTTCGGCCTCAAAATATGCAATATGTATGTTTTGATCTGTGTTCTATTAGTAAGTCGTATTGTGGAGATACGCATGTTATGCATGTGGTAATACACAATTGCAGACAGAGATATGATGTGCCAATTATTGGCGACTGTGCGAGTGGAGTTGCATTCCAAGATCATTGTTTTATTGGTGTCTTTGAGAATATTACAAGAAATATTCAATGGTATGAATTATGTGCAAATTTGCCGCAGATTTGACC